TTGGAATTGCCAGAAACCCGGTCATGTTTTTCGTGATCGCACGTCCTCTCAAAGAGGTTTTTTCATTTTTAAATGTGGAAAGCCAAATACTACAGCCCAAAAATGCGAAAATTGTAGATCGGCAAACGCGAGGAAGAACATAGTAACAGCGGGGAACCAACGTTCATCCGAACAACCCGCCGGGGTAAACCCTTAAATCAGTCAATTGGGAGCGATGAAGAAGTAGACTATGCTAAGCGTCGACATTATTTGCCACTGGAAGTTAGAGAGGAGAATTATAGAAAAATAAAGGCCAACATTTTCCAAAATGAGACCAATGAACAGAATAAAAATGAAGAAATAACTAAAAACATAAAATCTTAAAAAAAAAATTGATAAGCAACAACGAATACTAAAACTGAGAAACAAGCGAAAACAATACAAAGCTTTTAAAAACTCAATAACAAGAAAGATCGTAGACCGTATGCGACTGTGAAAATCGAAGGCAAAGAGATTAGAGGTCTAGATTCTGGTGCTACGGTTAGCTTATTAGGGAAGAAGTGTAGAAAACTAATAGAAGAATTAGGGATTGAATTTGAAACGTGTGTGTCAAGTGTCGTTACTGCATTAGGACAGCATTATCGGATATTGGGTATTATAGAAGTTGAAATTGTATTGAAATTGTACTGTGTCCCGATCTTGAACAAGATTTATATCTGTGAGCTGATTTCTGGAAAATATTCGAAATAGCTCCAACAATATTTCCAGTAAAGGAGATAGATTTTGATCTGGTTAGAAAATCCATAATCCAGATACTCCCAACGAGACCAAGATGCACAACTTAACAGAGGACCAACATAAAAGTTTGGAAGAAGTCAAGAAAAAGTTTTTAACTTTTTAAGAACATGGTTTAGGATGCACAGAACTACAAAAGCATGCCATTAAATTAGTAGAAGGTGCAAACCTAGTAAAGGATAAACGTTATCCCCTGTCGCCAGCGGTACAAAAGATCGTGTACAAAGAGATTGACAATATGCTCGCTTTGAATGTCATAGAGGAGAGTGACTCAGCATGGAGCAATCGAACAACGGTGGTGAGGAAACCGGGTAAAAACAGATTCTGTTTGGATGCCAGAAAGCTTATTGCTTTAACATTAAAAGACGCTTACCCTCTGCAGAATATAAATGGTATTCTTAGTGGAATAGATCAGACCCATTACATAAGCAGCGTCGACCTGAAATATGCCTTTTGGCAAATAGAGTTAGAAGAGGAAGCAAAACTATACACTGCCTTCACTATTTCAGGTCGACCGCTATACCAATTTCGGGTAATGCCAATTTCGTTGTAATGCGGCTCAAAGACTTTGCAGACTGATGGATAAAGTGATACCGGGAAGACTGAAATCTAATGTCTTCATATATTTGGACCACTTTCTAGTTATCACCGATGATTTTGAACATCACATATGCCTATTAAAGGAAGTAGCAGAGTGTTTGAAAAAGGCTAACGATAGGGCTAAAAAAGTCTTTGTTCTGTTTCCGTGAACTCAGATATCTAAGATTTTTAATCGAGAATGAATGTCTGAAAACGGACCCGGAAAAGGTTAGTGCTATCCATCGAATCACGGTACCAAAGACACCTAGAGAAGTCCGAAGCTTTCTTGGAACAGCTGGATGGTACAGAAGATTTATTAAAGATTTTGCTTCCATTTCAGTTGCCTTAATGGATACACTGAAAAAAGGCCAACAATTCAAATTTACCCCAGAAGCTATGCAATCGTTCAAGACGCTGAAACAAGCTCTGACGTCAGCACCAGTCCTTCGACATCCAGACTTCCGTCGAGAGTTTTTCATCCAATGCGATGCATCAGAATACGGAGTCAAAGCCGTGTTGTTTCAAAAGAATGACGATGGTAAGAAAAACCCCATCGCCTTTTACTCCCAAAAATTAAATTCGTGCCAAAAGAATTACTCCATGACCGGAGTGCTTGGCAGCTGTATTGGCAGTAAAACGTTTCCGTCCTAATGAAGTTTACTATTATAACCGACCACGCAAGTCTCAAGTGGCTGATCTCAGCGGCAGACTTGCACTATGGTCACTGTAAGCGTATGATTTTTCGATTGAACACAAGAAGGGATCAGAGAACGTGGTAGCGGATACATTACCTAGAATGCCAATAGAGTCGGATATTAAAATAGAAGAGATTAATAATGACGAACTACTAGATTTTGAAACGACCACATTTGATAACGAGGAATACTCTGAACTTCGAGAAACGATTTTGAACAATAAAGAAATGCTTCCGGATTTGAAAGTGGAAGGAAACAATGTCTACAAACGAACTAAGCATATTGACACTGATTTAACGGAATTCGAGTGGAAATTGTGGATACCACTTGACATCACCTACGTTCTTACAGAAAAGGCACACAACTACAACAATACGGTCCACGAGGGAATAAGTAAAACTCTGAACCGACTTAGGACGTTCTATTGCTGGCCTAAGATGGTTTCCCAAGTCAGACAGTATATACAAAAATGTACTACCTGCATTATGCAGTCATTACGGAAAGGCCATTTCAAAAGTTATGTGTGGACTTTCTCGGAAAATACCCCCGATCAAAAATGGGAAACGCATATATCTTTATTGTGGTGGACCATTTCACAAAATTCACAAAAAGGAAGCCACCGCTCAAAATGTCGTTTCTAGAGAACCAAGTATTTCATAATTTCGGCGTACCTGAGATCATTCATAACGATCATGGCAAACAATTTGTTTCCAAAGTATTCGAACAAATGGTAAATAATTATAAAATAGAGCATTTAACAACAGCGTTTTACTCCCCTCAGTCAAACGCTTCAGAACGAGTTAACCAATCAGTATTGGCTGCTATAAGAACCTATGTTGAGAACGACCATCGAGACTGGGATTTGTATTTACCGGAAATTGAGCAAGCCCTTTGAACCTCCGCGCTTTCAGCAACCGGTGTTAACACCTTCTTCGCTCTATTCGGATATAACATATTCACAAGTGGCACAGATTATAAATTAGCCAAACAACTCAAGTCCTTTACTGAATACCAGATACAACAACTTGACAAAAACGATAAATTGGAGATTATGCGAGAAAGGATTAAAAACAATATGCACCAGGCATTTGAAAATAGCGCGAAAAGGTATAATCAGAGAGCGTGTAGAGTTACATTTTTACCAGAGGTGTATAGAAGAAATCACATGTTATCTGATTTCAAAAACAAAAGTTTTTAAAATGTAGAGTCGTTAGGCCGATAGGTAATAATATGTATGAGCTGGAAACAGCACAAGACAAACCATTAGGAAATTTCCATATCAAAGATATTAAAACATAAAATGTGCAATAATTCTGTGATATAATTCTTTAAGTGCAATATTAGGTTTAAAATGAATGTTTGTGAACGTCCATTTTTTGCCCTTTTGCATTTTTTAATAATATTAGAAATTATTGACAGATCTTATGTTTTTGTATTTTTCGACTAAGACATAGTTTTTATTGCCCGGCTTTTGAGACTACAGAGCGTGGGAGTTCCCCACGTTGGGACAAAATAAAAAAAAAACTGAATGAATCTAATATCTTCAGGGAAATAAAACGACGCATAACTAAATGACACACCAATTAGAATAAAAATATATAGGCCTAGTGATTACCAATATTCAAAACACATCCTTATTCACAGAACCTCCATATTTGAGTAAAACAGACACATAACATAGCTATGTTACCCATCCATTACGCACATCAATTGTTTATCTCACATCTCTATCGATAATTTTACACAACGATTTTTATTAACATGAAAACAGTTTTATTTTTCTGAAAAGGCTCTCAAATTTTAAACCAATTTTTTCGGAGTGTGCCACATAAACAGATCTTCCATAATTTCAAACACCCTATCCCTAAATCCATTAGAACGTCAAACTCGAAACGTACAATTTTCATCGCACATATAATTCCATATCATCAACATCCAATGCATCAATATTTTTCATACAGAACAGGTATTTTTCATAATCTGACATACGTATCTTTATCTCTCTCAAGGAAATTAAAACTTTTTGGTTTTTTTATAGCATGTGTATGTGTTATTTTATTACCACAGGCAATAATTATATATACGCAATAAAGTGATCCGATGTGCCTAAACACCGCCAAATTGGCAGATAAAATTTTGGCACATTTTCATTTTTTAAATTCATTTTTTCTCAAAAGTCATATGAAAATATATTTTTAGTTTTACTTGAAAATAATTTCAGAATGACCTGTCTCGTTATCTCTTTCAATATACAAATCTTTATAATGTATCAAATATATAGAAAAGAAAAAAGCACTCACCAGAAAATCCTTAATGCGGATGTTATTCCAATGAATGTGCTCCCAAAACTGCTTCCTACAGAATTACAGTAATATTAATTAGTAAAAGGAATTAGTACATGTATAAATTTACCAAGCTCACAGGTAAATTAACGACAGTCTTTTATGATTCCAAGATATGTTTTTTGACTATTGGATATTTGAGACCCAAATCATTGTTTTATATCCACCAATTTCACAACAGTCCATTTGCTTTGCTCATATATGCAGTAAATCTAGCACAACCTATCCACAGACAAGATGGTGAACACAATATAATGTTTACCAGGGGGTAAGGCAGGGAATACCTAGGTTTCGGAAAGAGCCACCAATCCTCATCAGTTCCCTTGTTTTTTGTCTGGGATATTCTCCCCAGAAGTTATTTAAAAAATAACTTCTATGACAAAAAACATTAATAGAACAGTGTGGCTTGTTTGTTCGGGATACCTAGTATTTTGTTGTTGCAAAATGGTCAGGTTTTATCCCTTTATTTTTGTTTTTTATAAAAACAACGTTTGTTTATTAGAGGAGAACGATGGTAATATTTACCAGGGGGTAAGGCAGGGAATACCTATTTCGATTTTATTGTTTATTGCATATTTCTCGTGTTTACCCAGATCGGCATGTGTTTAAATATAAACCCGAGAAATACAACTCTAATGTAGGGCTCAGTAAGTACGATAAATATTATTTGATGAATCAGGAAAATTGCGCGAGAATCCCGGAAAATTTGAAATGGCTGCAGCCATATAAAAGGCATAACGGGGGAAAATCGAGGCAGTTTGTTTGTTGAATTAGCAAAGAACACATTTTTGTTTGCTAATTAAAATATATTTAAAGAAAATCTCCCAAAAAAATTAAACTAAATTTTGTTTTTGCGTTTAATTAACACTTGTGTTTTATTGTTGTGTGTGAATGCGTTTGTGCGAACAAGTTTAAGTGAGTATTGTGTTGTATTGTATTATATTAATGGTGTTTAAATGTTTGTGTGTCCTTTTGTATATTGTTTACGCAAAGCCAAAATGTACACCAACCGTAAAACCATCTCTGCCCCTCCGATTCTACGAACGGTGGAGCTTAGCCAAAAATTTATGCTGAATTCCTTGGCGGAATGAATTGTTGCCAAGGCAAGGTTTAATCCAAGTAAAGTGAACTGACAACTGGAACGGAGGCAAATTTAGTCCAGCCTGTGATGTGTCCATCCAACACCAAACCCCATTGAAGTATCCATTGTGCCTAAGTCCGTGATGTCCAAAAACCTGGAATAATAAAACCAAATAAGAATATGCTGACCAGGTAACAATACATAAAAGAAAAAAGATCTACTTACCGGCCTTGAGCAACGTTTCTGTTTGCAATATTTATGCCCAGAGCCTGAGTGCTTATTAAAATCTAAAAAGGAGAAATAGAAATGAAACATTAGAAAATCTGAAACAAAAATAACACCGAACTCATAAAAAAGAAATTAATCTGCTAAAATATTTATATGTTAGTTTAAGTATATGTTAGTAGTTAGTGATTAGTATATAAGATTTTTTTGTGATTGTTAGAGTTTTTAACGCCTAATAGAATGCGACAAGTGTAGGGTTACCCCAGAAAATCCTATTAGAATTAAGTTTATTGTGGGATCAAATATTAATGTCCCTTATAACCACATAAGAGAGCTCTTTTAGGTGAGGGAATAATTTAGAAAAGCGGCCCGAGTTTACCGAAATTCAATAGGATAAGGCGGTAGTCCGTGGTATTGATTAATTAATTTCCCGTGTTATGGTCGTATGTGTTTTGTCGTTTTTTTTTTTATTTGTTTGATGTAATTTCATGTTGTTCCTTTTCGATTGTTCGACCCCTAGGGCTGATGGTGGTAGGGTTCTGAATTCACCCCTAAAGCGGTGCGCCGACTGAGCTAGATGGAACCCCACCATAGCGCCGTAGCAGGAGACACGTAACAAGTTTTAATTAGCATTGAATAAAACCCTTTTTATTAAAATAACCTTAAACTTAAATTAACAAACTTAATTTAGAAATTTGTAGAGGAGAAATGTGGTATGCACTGCAACGCTGCCGACTGGAAAAAGAGACCGATCAATCCTCGATTTTATGCAAGTTCTTGAAAACATGCACGTTTTGCAATACCGGTTATAAAATTCTATTACCAGTAAATTGTGATTGAAGGTTCCCACACGTACATTCCTTTGCAATTGATGTCTTTGGTTGTTGAATTCTATGTTCGTGTGGAAGAAATCCCCAGGATCAACATAATTTTCGGTAATATCACCATTAGTAACAATATCTTATTCGCTTATAAACAAAAGATGCGTACAGTGCAATGTTATTGTTGTGAGCTCTAGAAATAAATGTGGAAGCATAAAAAAGCTGTGAATTTGGGGCATTCTATTTTGCATAAATGTTATCGCTTTTTCTTTTGTCACATTTGTGTTGTGATCTCATGTTCGTGTGAGATAAATAAATTGAATCTACCAACAAATATTCGCACTCATTCCTTCACTTCAAATTGCATTGTTCGTAGTTAGTATTCATACATAATTATTTACACATATTTTTGATATTGACATAATTACATTCCATTTCTTTCACGTTGTATACATACATACCCTTGTTACTGGCAGTCTTAGTTAGTTCAGTTTTTATATGGATGTTTTATAAGCAAAAGGCAGTATATGTAAATAATTAACATTTGAGGTTATTTGTTACTTAGCGCCTAAAACCAGCTGAGAAGCTCTAGAAAAAGTTGCGAGGATCTCTCTAATTTGGCCTAAAGTTAAATGCCTTAGTGCCTTAGGCATTTAAGGTTAGGCCTTGCTTACTCGTCCATATTCATTTGAAATCTTTTTTCGCGCTTTCAGTTCTCGAAAAAGAAAGTACTTCAACGCGGCATTAATGGATGTCTTTCGGCGATGTCCATATATGATATTCCCATCATGGTACAATAAAATCAAGGTAGGGCTATGATACCATATGATTTTATTTTTTTTTTTAATTTCTTCGCTTAATATGTCAACTTAATTTGTTTATGTATGTGTTTTCTTTTCAATAACAAAATTTTTTTTTCAGAAAGTATTCAAATTCGAGTCTTTTCAAAATGTTTATTTTAACACATGCTTCGACAAAATCTACAGTCTTTGTAGCGAAACAAACCTTTAGAGATATCTAGAACATGATTTTGAAAAGAAATTTTGACCTTTCGTTCAGTTTTTGCGGTTTTTAATTCATAATTTAAAATAAATGTAACAAGTTGTTTGATTTATTATTGTTTTGATACTAACTCTGACATTACAAGCCACACAGGTAGGCCTCTATACTTGAAATTTTTTCAAAGTTAGCCTACCTTCTCTTCATTGTACCACGATTCCTATGGTTCATTTGGATCCAATTATCTTTTTCGTTTGTCTCTCACGATTGCCAAAATTTACACTGACACTGTGGGAGCAAAGTGTCAATAATAAAACTGTGATTACTGTTTAGAAGGACTTGGATAGATTTTTGACGGAGACAATTCGTACTCTCACTTGTCTTCACGGCATGAGGGAAGTTGAACCATCTCCAGGAATGTTTGATCAATCTCGTTCTTGTTCGATAACTCCTCGGCAATCATCCTCTTTCTAAATGTCCTTATTTCAAAAAAAGGGCCCTTTCGGAATTATATTCAATGGTTGAGCGTCATCGTTTGTGTTTCAACTGCTTGCGCAAGAGACATGAGATAACTAATTGTAGAAGTCGTCGTCGCTGTGTATTTTATAATCGTAGTCATCACACATTGCTTCATAGAGGTGGTTCAACAAATAGTCGAAGTCTAATGACAACACCTCCAAGTTTGCGTTTTTAGTTTCGGCTCCACTTTTTAGACTCTTGAGTTCTTCACCATGCACTGGTCAAACTCCCTATTCAAATGTATTTCATTCCGTTGTTGCAAAATGATCAGGCTTAATCCCTCTATTGTTGTTTTTAATAAAAACAACGTTTGTTTATTAGTGGAGACGATAACTTCTATGACAAAAAAAAAAACTTTTTTACCCATGTGACGAGATCGTAAGCTCAATAGAGAAGGAATTGAATGAATTGCATAAAACTAAATTTTTTTTTGGAAAATCTTAAAAACCTTACTACCGCACTTGTAAACATTGTCATCTTTCTCCACTTGTTGTGCTTTCGTTTTACATGAACGAAATAGCATAACCATGTAAGTTGGTTTTGTCTGTTACAACAAAAACTCCTTCGTCGACCGTGCCTTGTCTATTAACAGAACAGTGTAACTCCCTGGTAGACATTACCATCGTTATCCACTAATAAACAAACGTTGTTTTTAAAGGGATTAAGTCTGACCATTTTGTAAAAACAAAATACTATGGTACCCCGAACAAACAAGCCAACACTGTTGTATTTCATTTCTCCACATCGACTGAAGATGTATTTCGACAGGCATTTCGCGCTGCGCTGAATTGGTCGGTCTTTTTGGGTACAGACATGGTGAAAGTCGTTTATCAAAGCGGTTGAAAGTAACTTAAGCTTCCTGTACCTCCATTTTGGGTGGTGAATGTTTGTGATATTGAAATTGAAAGTAGAATAAAAAAAATCGTTACCCCTAAAGACTTCAGTGGTCGTGCTGGATTTGATTACAGGAAATTTGCCTTCACTTGCGGTCATTTCATTATTTTATCGTTAAAATAGCCCATCAAGTCCGAATACATAATTGTGGGGTCTTGGTGATTTTGAACTATCAATTTGTTTATTGTTTCGAAACTGCTCACATTCTGCACTGTACCACAATTATATTGTATTTTTTGACTTAATTTATAAGCTAATGTTTAAGTAAGAATGTTTAAAAGGAAGTGTCTCCATTTATTTGAAATGGAATCATGGTGCAGTTTGTTGCACCACTTATTGTATTGTACATACGTTGAAATCTGCTTAGTACTTTATTTCAATAGTGAAATGTCAATGATTTCAACCAATTGACGCTAAAGCTACCACATACTTCAATCTGTCTTGATGATTCCGTCATGGATATCGATATTGGATGCTCAATATTGTAACATTACAAATTCGTTATAATTTCATTACATATTGATTGAAATCTCAATATAGAACCATTCATTTAGTTGAGTAAGAAAGTAAAAAGGTAGTGTTTTGTTTCTATTCCACCCCCTCTTCATCGGAGCGCAATTTCGGAGCATTGACATTTGATCCTGTCGAGCCGGATTAATCTTCTTGGATTAACACATCTATTTCATATTTTCCCTATTTTTAAATGAGTTAAATAGCGCAAAAACCGAAAGAAATGCAGAGATTTTTTTCCTGAAATATGATTTAAGCTGTTCAATTCCATTGCGAAGCTGGCACATAATTTTAATTCCAATCATTGATTTGAAATTTATTTTATTTTTACGATGGGTGCCGAAACAATCCCTCGAAATAGAGTGAATGTTTGGCCTATAAATGAAATAAATTGTTTTTGATTTATGTGTGTGAGTTACAGCAACAGGTTTGATGTTACTGTAAATTTTTGTTGTTATTTCAGCAGCTTTTACTGTCAAAGACAAATAAAGGCATAAAATAAAAAGTTTTAATGTTTGCCTCTTCCGGCATACGTCAATATTGTTGATCGTCGAGCCAGTAAAGTCACTCAGGACTAGTAAAATTATTCTACTTCAAAAAGAATTTATGAATGCTTTTGCTGTTGGAACTGTAAATTTTTACATGTTACGGCATTGCTGTAAAATTGATAAATATTATTAAATTATTATATTATGGCCGATTATACATCTTGCCGATGGATAAAAAATGTATTTATTTTATATTGAAGAACTGAATTATAAATTTATTTCACGAACTTTTTACTTTACTTTTCCTAAAGTAAGGGATAACAAAAGGGAACTATAAAGGAAAGATATAAGAACGGGCCTATGTGTATTGTGAGAATTGAACGAAATGATTTTATTAAAAAACAGGAACAATAACTGAACTAACAAGTTTACAATCTTGTCTTTTATATGTTTCCAGTCTTATGATTAATGCTTAGCTTTTATCAATTATTCCAAACAACTTTAGGTCTGGTGATCAAGTTCTTTGGGATTGTTTACAAAACTGAAAGGAAGTATATTATAGAAAAAAATGCAGAAAATGATTTATTAATTGGAATGGATACTCGTGTTTAGAAATGCTTTATTATTTAAGAAAGTTGTATTGAAGAAGAGAATGAAAAACTTATTAATAGGGTGGCACGTAAATGTAAAGGTTTAGCTATAATAGGGTGGCCGGTGCATACTTATTCGACAAACATAGGCGTAGCTATAAAACTTTGTTTTCTGGATAGCAGCGCTATTAATATTCTACCGACTCCTAAAGCTTACCATATTGGTGATATTGCCTCGAAG